ATTGTCCACAGTTTACAAACAACAACAACGATGACAATAAAAAAGGTGAGTTAATCAGCAAAAAAACTCCGGCTGAATGTTGCCGCAAATTATTTCTGTTTATCGAATTGTTTCTCCTTGAAGTGAGTGAAAAAATAATTTGAAAAAGATTGATCTTTCCTTTTTTTCTCTTTTTGTTAAAAAATACGGTAAACTATTATCAGCCAATTTCCATTCAATTTGACTTTAATTTGATTAAGATTTTTTTCATTTTCAGCTCAATTCTGCACAAAAATAACCCTCTTAAGCAAAAAAATAACCCTGTTAAGCATAGAAAAATTTGGCAGTTCTATTAATTATTTAATAAGTATAATCACTTTTTTTTTTGTTTGAACATTTCTTTTTGTCTCTCTTTCATATTCTATCTTCTGAAAACAAGGCTACAGAACTGATATTGAATAGTTCTCTTCAAAATACTAAAGGTGAGAAAATAAAGCAGTTTTTGCCCTGAGAGAATCTGTAGTTCAGAAAAAAACATTTTTGAAAGTTGTCACTATCGACATATTTGTATGGTTTACCCATTAATAACAATTCAATAACAATGAAAGGTACGTACCAAAAAAAAGAATTCTCCTTTTTTTTTTCTATAAATATGTACATATGTATGGTAAAAGAAAAACAAATACTTTCACAAAAAAAAAAAATAGCTAAAAATTTAACTATCAATAGAGGTGTCTGTAAAAAAAATGCGTATTCATTTTAAAATTCAAAATCTCTTTTTTTTTGGTACGCTTAAAGAGCGGTTTTTTTTGAGGGTGGTTAGTACTTTTTCGTACCTTTTGAGCAGTAAATTTCTTCAGCCGTGTTTGAATTTTGGAAAAAAAACTATAACAACAACACCAATGACAGCAGTAATAGCTTAAGCTTTTTAAAGAATCTGTTCTTTTCTTGATTAACACCAAATATTATTTTTATCGTCATTGTTACTATTATTATTTGCCATTATTATTACTGATATTAGTTGTTCTCACTGCCAGTATTGATGTTGTCGCTAATGTTGTTATATGTTCTTGAAAAAAAAAAAAAAA